AAAAAAAAAAAAAAAAATGACTAAAATTCACAGAAACTCACTTAACAGAAACTATTTCATAAGACATGCACGCCATTAATGATTTATTAATCGATTGAGAGAGATAGAGAGTTACCTCGACAGGGTAAAATGAAAAGAATGGGCGACATTGTTAGGGGGTCGACCCATTTACAACTACAATTCTTTTGATTTACATAACTATTTATGTGCTAGACAAGGGAAATGGAGAATTTTTGGTCGGTGGTCGAGGGTTTTCGGTCGGAGAACTTTTGCAATTTTGGTGTTTGAAGATGAATTTAGGCTTTTAGGGCTTTTTATTTTGAAGAGATGAATTTAGGTTTTGGGATTTAATAGAAATCGAGCCGAGCTCTTTAAATTTTTTGCCTCAATAACGTGTGCCACGCCAATTAAATTACCGGACAGGTTAGCATCGGTCAGTCCGAGATCGGGTCAATGCTTCATTTTGCAAGAAAACATAAATTAGGTATCAGAGTGCCAAGGTTCCAAAGTCGTGACAGACGTAAAAAAGTTGATAAGGTCGTGATGTCGCATGCAATTTTACACCAAGAAATATTGATACCAAGCAAACTTCTATGGGTATTAAGACTTGGGCAACATTTAATTTGGGCCACCATTAGGAGAGTTTGTGGTGGATTGGTTGGTGCATTGGGCCTCATTTCAGTAGATGGGCTTAACCATTAATAAGACTTGTCTATACAAACGGGCTTCTATCTTGATCTTTGAACCAAATGAAGAAAGAAGGTGAGAATTTTTATTCAGTACAAATTAAAAGAAAATTATATTTGTGAATTGTGAGTGATACCTATATTGGTAAAATTGTGTGTTCATGCCATGTTTTAAATACCGGTTCGTACCGGCCGGTATTACCGGTAATACCGGATACCGGTGGTCCGACCGGTACATTTACACTCAAAATACCGTTTTGGCCAAAATACCGGTTTCGTACCGAAAAATACCGGTTTTACCGGCAAATAATGGCCAAAATACCGGTCAGAATACCGGTTTATGCCATTTTTTAAAAAAAAAATATATTTTTAATAGATTTTTATTATTTTATTTATATAAATTGAAATTTCTACACTAACTTTAATATGTTTATATTGTTATTAGATGTTAATTTATTTTAGTATTAATTAAAGTTAGTTTTGTATATTATTTATATAATAATAACAAATTAATTTAATATTTATTAAAACCGGTAAAATAGACGGTAATACCGGTCGCACCGGTAATACCACATACCGGTCGCTACACCGGTATGACGACTGGTACGGTTTTTAAAACATTGTGTTCATGCAACAGTTTAATTGTTGAGTGAAACAAAAACCAAGTCTACTTTCCTCGTATCAAGCAACCATACAGATTTTCTTCCTAATAATCACTCTTTGCCTTGAAGCATAGTTCATCCACGGGCACCTAAAATCTGAGATCTCACTACCTCTGTACACATTATTATTATTATTATTATTATTATTATTATTATTATTATTATTATTATTATTATTATTATTATTATTATATTAAAGGCTATTGGCGGCGTTGTTAATATTATTAACTTGGATCGAGTGTGAGGATTGTGACTTTTGGTCCCTCTCGCTTAAAACAAATGCAGATATTTTAATTAATATTATGATAAGATCAATGAATTATTTCTTTTCCCAAAAAGTAATGCTGGGATATAAGAAAATTTGGTTTTGTTTGGATTTTTTTTTTGGTTTGATTTGATTAATTTTGAAAAAATGTGGTATGATTTGTTGTTAGTGGTATATTAAAATAAAATAATTAACGTTGATTTGATGTAAAAGTATGATATAAATGATATAAAGTGATGGTTAGATAAAATTATGTGAGTAAAAGTGAATTAATGTTGATATTTATGATAGTGCGGTTGAGTTAAAATAAATGGTTGAATTAAATATTTTTGAATTTTTTTGAGAATTTTTGTATCCAAACATCCTAATATTTCGTGGTACCCTGCATTGTAATGATTTTTTAGACTATCCACAATTTTTTTTTGGGACCCGATGTCTTTACATTGGAATGAATTGTGTTACTTTTATACTCCACCGTTTCAAATTAAAAGTCGTTTTGATTTTTTTGATTCATTCATTTTGCTATGTATCTAGACATATTATTATCTAGATACATAGCAAAGTGGATGTAACGAAAAAGTCAAAGCGACTTTTAATTTGAAACGGAGAGAGTATAATTTATCCACGTCATCATCCCACACGTAGGCAAAATTGGACCTAAAACCTGCTCTAAATCATAATGTTAATGTCTTTGTTATTTTATTTTATGTGCTAATTTTGCAAAATAAAACTTGTTTTTTTATTCATATCACAATAAAATGCACAAATTACATATTACAAAGTTGTTTCAATTTTTTTTTTT